ATTTCTGGAAGAAAGGGGAAGTGAGCCATGCCAAGGGAAGTGAAGCAAGATGAGGAGAGAGAAGTATTAGACTCAGCAAAGTGGAAGCCACCAACAGTCTTGGTAGAGCCCTTTCGGAGGAAGACACTGCCCGTTGCAATAAAGGGAAGAGGCCAGAGGTGAGGAGGCAGAGGAGGCAAGTGAGAGGGAGAGTGTCTCCTCGGAGATGTTCTCCCATAAGAGGAGAGGAGAGGAAATACGGGGGTTAAGGGAGGTTTCAGGATGAACACTCTTAAGGCATGTTTGCAAACCGGCGGGGAAAGGGTCAATCAAGGAGAGACTCGCCGGGCACAATGGTGCACCCCTGTAATCCCAGGGGCTCGGGAGGCTGAGACAGGAGGATCAGGAGTTCCAAGCCAGCCTCAGCCACTTAGCGAGGCCTTAAGTAACTCAGTGAGACCCTGTCTCTAAATAAAATATAAAAAAGGGCTGGGGATGTGGCTCAGTGGTTAAGCACCTCTGGGTTCAATCCTTGGTCCAAAATAAATAAATCCATAAAATAAAGAAGATGAAGGAGAAGAAGAGACTGCCAAGGCAGGAAAAGGTAAATGATCACAGGAGTGAAGACCCTGAGAAGGAAACAAAACAGAGTCCAAAGCACACCGGAAAGACTGCCTCCAAGAAACCCTGAGCGCGGGAGAGCGGTTTCAGTAAACTCAAGAAAGCAGAATCCAAAGTGTACAACGCGAAGACCACAGCAATGCCCATGATTCTGGGTGACCCGGGACTCGGGGTGATCTTTTTTTCTGTGTTTCTTTATCCATTCCTGTGACTTACGAATTTTCTGAAAGGAATACTCCCCACTCTCTGTGGGAAGCCACCCGTGAACTACTTGAGGGGTCTTTACTTGGTACCAAGCCACGGAGACTTAGGTGTTTGCCTTGGGGACTATCCCGTGGGTATCAGGTGGCCCAAGGCGTGGGATCTGCATCCTGGCTCTCCCAGTGCGACAGCTCTGTGGCTCCCGAGTTGGGCGTGACCCATTGGAACTGGACAGCCCACCTCCCATGTTATTTGGCAAAGAACATTCCATCGAAAACCTTTGGTGCTCCCCCATCTAAACAAAGCAAACCTGGGCTCCATTGCTCTCTTTCCTGGTGTGGAAGCTTGATCCCTAAGATCCAAGAGCCCACCTGCCCCCCCCACTTTTCAAAATGACTCCCCATGCACGGTGGTTTGTTCACCATTTTCTCTTTCTTAGCTCTTATTCCACAGCCAGCCCACTCCCCAAAGAGGGACCCCCATTCTGTTGCCTGTGCTCGATGTGGACCAGAACTCTCATAATTAGGCATAAAAATGGGAAAAAAAGTCAAAGAAAGTTGAAGGCAGCAGCGTCCTGATTGCTGTCTCAGGACCTGGCCTATCCCTGGGAGAGAGGAAGCCCAGCAAGTGGAGCTGGACCCAGAGTGGCTCTGGCAGGAGGCCTTGCTCATGAGGAAACCACGTCCCCTTTTTCAATGGCCAGCCCCATCTCTGTTGGTGCTGGAAATCGATAAGAGAAAGCCTGGCTGAGTGGGGAAAGCAAGTAGTTAAAGGGTGCGCCCCTCTTGTACTTCTCCAGTTACGTAGTTGGCTCAGGCAGATGCATGGGGGACAGGAGGAGGCATGGAGGCAGGGGAGGCTAGGCAGAGAGGCATGGCACACTGCAGAAATGCCCCCTGCAGGCAGCTGCCCTGCTACAGGCCAAGATCAGAACTGGCAGGGTCAAGGGTGGACTTGAAAGAACAAAGTTAAGCCCTGGTGGGGCCCATCATGGTGCTGCGTTTAACAGAGGCCTCGCAGTCAGGAAGGATCTCCAAGTTGTTAATTTGCAAGTGAGGATTCATATTCTTAGCAATACACTCAGAACATTGAAAGAAGATGACACTCATGTTCCCGCTTTGAGTGCGCTGTCATTTCTAGACCACTCACCTGTCACACATTATGAATTAAGGGTTTATCATCCCACAATTACTTTATGAGCAGTGTCGTCATATTGCACTATATTTTTGTTTGATTTAAAAGCACTGAGTTTTTGGTTGGATGTGGTGGTGCACACCTGTCATCCCAGCGACTCAGGAGGCTTGAGGCAGGAGGATCACTAGTTTGAGGTCGGTTTCAGCAACTTCGTGAGAACCTCGGTAATTTAGTGAGAACTTGTCTCAAAATAAAAAATAAAAAGAGCTGGGGATGTGGCTCAAGCACTGTTCACTTGTTCACCCTCTTCCCCTAAACCCACAGATTTTTAAAAATTGTCTCTTTAGTTTTGCCTTTTCCCAAACAAAATCATATAGTTGGAATCATACAGAATGTAGCCTTTTCAAATTAGCTTCTTTCACTCAGCAATGTGTTTTAAGTTTCTTCATGTTTTGTGGATACACAATAGTTCATTTCTTTTTATCACTAACATACCAATGTCTGGATGTGCCATGTTTGGTTTAGCTCTTCACCTGTTGAAGGTGTTGGTTGGGTTGGTTCTGATTTTTGACAATGGTGGATAAAGCTGCTATCAACATTCATGTGCATTTTTTCTGTGAACATATGTTTCCTTCCTTCCTTCCTTCCTTCCTTCCTTCCTTCCTTCCTTCCTTCCTTCCTTCCTCCCTCCCTCCCTCCCGAGGGATTGAATCCTTTTTTTATACTTTGTACTTTTATACAGCCCTTTTTTATACTTTATGGACGGGGTCTCACTGAGTTGCTTAGGGCCTCATTAAGTTGCTGAGGCCCTAACTTGCAATCCTCCTGCCTCAGCCTCCTGAGCCGCTGGGATTACAGGCGTGTGCCACCGTGCCTAGCTGAACATATGTTTTCAAATCAATTGGGTAAATACCAAAAAGCACAACAGCTGGATCATATGGTAAGATTACGTTAGCTTTGTAAGAAACTGCTGATCTGTCTTCCAAAGTGGCTGCCTCCTTTTGCATTCCTGCCAGCAACGAAGGAGAGTTGCTGCTGCCCCGCATCTTTTTCGGCATTTCGCATTGTCAGTGTTTTGGAGTGGCCTGTCTATATGTACGCAAAGCAGTATCTCATTACTGTTTTAATTTGCAATTCTCTAATGACATGATGGAAAACAGATTTTCTTTTTTTTTTAATTGTTTTTAGTTGTAGATGGACACAATATCTTTGTTTTATTTATTTATTTGATGTGGTGCTGAGGATTGAACCCAGTGCCTCACTCATGCGAGGCAAGCGCTCAACCACTGAGCTACAACCCCAGCCCCCCTGGGAAAACAGATTTTCATATGCTTATTTGCCACCTGTATATCTTCGATGGTGAGGAACCACTTCAAATCTTTGTCCACTTTTTGTTTGTGTTCTTCTTTTTGAGTTTTAAGAGTTCTTTGTACATTTTGGACACAAATCCTTTGTTGGCTATTTTATCAGATAAATATTTTCTCTTAATCTGTTTCCTATATTTCCATTTGCTTAACATTTAAAAAATTTTTTAGTTGTCAATGGACCTTTATTTTATTTATTTTTATGCGATGCTGAGAATCCAACCCAGGGCCTCACACATGCTAGGCAGGTGCTCCAATACTGAGCTACAGCCCCAGCCCCCATTTGCTTAACATTTATTGAATTTACTGAAAGTCTTGATAATTGCAAGTGGCTTAGGCTTCCCTCAACCTCTGAGAAAGTAGAGATGAGGTAGGAGAAACAGATAGGAATTTCTGGACTTGTTTGGCCATGAGACATATGTGGTCTCTAGCCACTTGGTCCAGTACTGACTGGGGAGTAAGGGGAAAAAAACAAAAAAAAAAATAGTAGTACTGCCCTACCCTATGTTAAACACAAGTAATTTCACATATATTATTCCACAGCCACCTTAAGAAGTAAATCCTATCATTTAGGAAGCCATCAGGCTTGTTGAACATCACATAAGTTAAACAAACTATCCAGGGTCTCACATGGATTATGTGGTGGAATTGAGACTCAGATAAGTCCAGGACACTGTGGGCCAGACGCAAGGTTAACCCACCTCAGGGCAGGTTGGATAACAGTACATGAGGGATGGGTGACAGTTCCAACCCCTGTATCAGACATTGGACCTGAGACTCATCCTGGGCCAGTGTGGAGATCTAAGAGACTGCTCTCAGATGGAAGAAATGCCCACATTAAGACAGATACATCGGATCTGGTTAGAAGCAAGAGCTCAATAAACAGCTGGGGATGTGCACTGTAATCCTGGAAGGAGAAGAAACAGTCAAACATTGAGCAGGGTGCCGAGTGTGGTGGTGTGTGCCTGTAATCCCAGCAACTGCAGAGGCTGAGGCAGGAGGATCAAGAGTTCAAAGCCAGCCTCAGATTAGTAAGGAACTTAGCAACTCAGCAAGACCCTGTGTCTAAATAAAATATTAAAAAGAACTAGGAAAGGCTGGGGGTATAGCTCAGTTGATAGGGTGCTTGCCTTGTGTGCACAAGGCCCTGGGTTCGATCCCCAGCATAACAACAACAAAAAGATTTGGGGAAGTACTGGGGTTGTAGCTCAATTGGTAGAGCGTTTGCCTTGCATGTGTGAGGCACTGGGTTCGATCCTCAGTACCACATAAAAACAAATAAAATAAAGGTATTGTGTCTGTCTATGACTAAAAAAAAAAAGTGGATAAAAAAAAAAAAGAACTGGGGATGTGGCTCAATGGTTAAGCACCCCTGGGTTCAATCCCTTGTACCAAAAAAAGAAAAGAAAATTGAGCAGAATGTGAAGGGTCCACACAAGCAGGCTGAGGCCCAGCCCAAGGCTGCAAATAGAGACAGGGAACTGAATTCCAGTATGAAGAAGGCGAATGGGACTACTCGAGCAAGACACAGTGGGAGTGGAGGAGCCCATCACTAAGGCAGTCAGGTCCCCAGCTTGGGACAGCAAGGCCTACTCCTGCACCACTGCTCATGGTCTGCAGCATGTCTTGTGAGAGTCAAGCTCAAGGTCTGCACACAGTTAAGGTTTCCAGTTATACATTGTCAGAGCCTGCCATTGGAGGGAACAGTAAGAAAGCTTCAAGGAAGGCAGAAACTTCAAGCAGAAGCTCCACGTGTGGACCATGTTTTAGAAAATAAGTGAGGACAAAGATCAGGGCTGTTGGATGCCTGGGGCAGTGATGAACTGGGGGCTCCTGAAACTCCTCTGACACCGGGAGACATCCCAGAAGGGAGCGCAGGGCTGAGCTGAGAGGTATTGCAGGTGAGCCAATTACAGAAACAAGGACATCGCTGAACTAGCACATCTGCCCAAGACTGGCAGCTGGCACCTGAGGGAAGAAGACGTGGTCAACAGTCTCCTCAGACAAGTCAGGTGTACAACCTACAATCCCAGGCTTCTTCAGGATTCAGGTACGCCATGCTTCATGTAAGATAAATGTTCCTGAAAATGATATATAAATTGGATTTTGCACATTGATGGATACTTTAAATTTCCAGGGGAATTTGCTGCTTAGAGGAAATTATTATTATTATTGTAAATCTGGTTTCAATCCATTGGATTTTCTTAAAAAGACCATTTTTTGCCTTCTCTCTCTCTCTCTCTCTCTCTCTCTCTCTCACACACACACACACACACACACTAACTGTATTTAAAAGAATTAATGGATGCTGCTAGCATGCCCTTATTTTTACAAAGTTTAAATTTTATTCCTTACAATATATTCATTAACCTAAAACATAATGGTCTAAAGCAGTAATTCCTACACCTAACTGACGTAAGCTGGTAGTCTTAAAGAATACAGATTCCTGGGCCCTACCACTTGAGTTTCGGACTCTGAAGGCAGCATAGAAAGGCACCCAGACTCCCTGGGGGAGCGTATGGCTTAGCATTGCTGTGCAGCTGTAGAGATTAATGGCAGATGGAAGTTAACCTGGAGATGATCTTTTTTGCAGTCATTGGATAATTTCTTTCCAGCCTGATGTGAAAGCAGAGCCTGGACACAGCAGGCCCCTGGGCTCCAGGATAGGCCTCCAGATTCAAGGCAGAGTGTGTCACTGTGCCAGGGCCTGGGACCTTCATCTAGAATTCTAGCGGAGGTAGGGGTTATAATCACTCATAGAATACCTAAAGGTTATTGGGAAAACTGAATATGGTTGTGAAGTAGTATAATGCCTGCCCACGCCCCATGATGTCCATGTCACACTCCCTAAAGTCGTGAATATGTGAGGTCATGTAGCAAAAAGAGATGGCTGCCAGTTGGCTGTCTTCAGGTGGGAGATTATGCTGGGTTATCAGGTGGGCCCAATGTAATGACAAGAGTACTTAACAGCAGAAGAGGAAGGCAGGAGAGAGGCCAGAGAGATGAGTATGCGAGAAGGATTCCATTAAACACTGTTGGACAAATAGGGCCATAGGCCAAGGGATGTGGGTAGCCTCTAAGAGCAGGGACACGTTGCAGCTGTCACTCTTCAGTGAGACCCCTGCCACATTCTGACTTCCCAAACTGTGAGATAATAAATTTGTGTAGTTTTAGGCCACCAAATTTAAGGTAATTTCTTCCCCTTCTACCAGAAATAGGAAACAAAAACAATACTCATGACCAAGTTCTAAAAAAGAAAAAAAAATTTTTTTAGAATGCAAGAAAAGGAAAGTAGAACTTGAAAGTCTGACAGACTTCTTTGTATGGCCAGGCCCTGCAAACCATCACCAACAGTTTCCTTTTCTTGTCTTTGAAGAAACAAAGATTTTTTTTTTTTTAATGAAATGAGAACAGGCTCCTTTATTAGGCCAAGTTTTTAACACAGTTAAAATAGGATGGTGGTAAGATCCAGAATCTATATTTTAAAAATCTCCCTAGGTGTCTCTAGTATGCAGCCAGGTTTGCAAATCACTGGTCTAAAAATGCAATTCTAACCCACATAATTATGAGGTGGCCGCATACCTGGAGAGTGAGTCCCCGTGGATTATGATTAACCTGGGAAGACAGAACACATGGGGTGACCGCAGAGACGGGGTCTGGTGAGGCAACACTGCAACACTTCACGTGTGACCTGCACCGTGGAATGGTGAGCATGCTCCCATTAAACACGAACACCTCCAAAGTAGAAAACAGGCCAAGGAGGGTGTTTTAATTAATGATTGATGGTTGTGAGGACGGAGGGCTAATTGATTCAAGGGACAGGCAATAGCAGGGGGAGGGAAGGCCAGAGGAGTTGCAGGGAACTGAACGCAGTTCAGTGGAGGCAGATGCAGAGTAGTGCACTTTCTGGAAAAGGGAAGAAAATAGCACAAAAACAGGCAGGTCAGGGGAAGAGTGCAACATTAGAAAAGGCTCTGGAGACCAGGCCTGTCTCAGGGTGGTGTGTGGTGCTGGGGTGCCAGGGGTACAGCAAGGCCTCTCAGCCTAGGCCTCCCATTCACAAAGGCACTGAAATTTAAGCACTTTTTTTTTTTTTGTGGTGCTGAGGATCGAACCCAGGGCCTTGTGCATGTGAGGCAAGCACTCTACAAACTGAGCCATATCCCCAGCCCTGAAATTTAGATTTCTGACATCTTTTAGTATCTGATAAAGGTGTTCTTTGTTGTTGTTGTTGTTGTCTTAAGTTGTGGATGGACACAATACCTTTATTTTATTTATTTATCTTTATGTGGTGCTGAGGTCAAACCCAGGGCCTCGTACATTCGAGACGAGCACTCTTCCACTGAGCCACAACCCTAGCCCTCTGATGAAGGTGTTTGTTTGCAAAGCATACCACAGTTTTATGATCCCGTTTTTACAACTTATCCTTTTTAATGTATTGGGAGCCTCAAAAAATGAGGCCAGTGGTGTAGAATCGGTGGTGGATTGGAGGATTTGGCCAGTTGATGGAGCCAGCATATGTGAGCAGCCATGGGGCATTATTTAAGGATACAGGATGAGGGTTCATAGTGAACAGGGCTGGAGGAATTGGAATCCAAAGAGGAAAGGAGACTGACTTTGTTTATTTTCCTGAGTGTTAATAGGTACTTCTTCTATTTTTCCTTTTCCCCCAGAGTTATGTATGTACATAATCTACTAACAACTAGTTCTACAAGGTTTATTATACAAGACAACTTTCCCTGCCCTTTCGCACCATTTCCCTATGTTTTAATCTCTTTTAGATGATTCTTTCGTTATTTATCTCCAGTTCTATAAATTGTCATGGTTGAAACATTATTCTTTGATGTTTCCATTTTAACCATTATTGCATTTTTCCCCAGCACAGAAGATCAGGATTTGGTGTCTTTCCTCCCTCTACCCTTATCCACCATACACACTAATTCCCCCCACCCCCATTCTTCCAATATACTTTGTGGTCATGTTGGTTAGTGGATCTTCACTGTTTATGTCCTCAAGACTAGAAAACACTCTTTGTAGCTGAGCCATCTAGTAAACTGCGATAACTTTTCCTTTCTTGCATACCTTTTTGTTGTCCCTGGGGCTAATAACTGTCTTATTATTAAGACAGTTTCATTATTATTAAGAAATGGTTTCATTTTCTATGTATTTATACTTGCCATTTCAAGACATTCAGAACCTTCAGATACTCTAATAATTTCACCAATCCTTAAAAATAAAATAAAAAAAAAAAAGTCTCCTGGAGCCTTCCCCCCTGCTCCAGCATGCATCTGAGACCCTCCCCGCCCCTCCCACCTTGGAATCTCTCTTCACCTTCATCCCGGGATTCTCCTTCCTTCTGGTTGAAAGGAGTGCCTTCCGTCTTTGTTTACTTGTTGTTTTGACAGTGTTTGGGGGATTTCCTGAGGCAGGGGCACGTGATATAAATTTTTACAATCTTGCACGTTGGAAAATGCTTTAATCTCCTCTGAGACTTGCTGAGTTGTTTGGGTTAGATATAAAATCCTAAATTGGAAATGATTTCCTCTTGAGAAGGGTCATTACCCAGGGCTCATTTTCTCCTCCTCTTTGGATGCTTGTAGCATCTTTTCTTTGTCCTCAATGTGCTGAGATTTCCCACTGGTGCACCTTGGGGTGGGTGTTCTCCATCCTCCCGTGGACATTTGGTGGCCCTTTTATTCCTGAAATGCATGCCTGAGAGCTGTGAGAAAAGGCTGAATTATTTATTTAATGACTTCCTAAGGACTTCCTCTCTTCTGGTTTCTCTGTTCTCTTTTCGGATCTCCTATTTGCATATAGCAGACCTCTTGTTCTGGTCTCTTGATTTTCTGATCTTTGCTTTCATTTGTCTATTTTCTCTCTTTTGTCCAAATTTCAGAGAGATATTCTCTTTTCTATTTTCTAGCTCTTTTATCAAAATTTTATTTTTATCATATTTCTAACTTCCGTGTGTGTGTGTGGGGGCGGGGGTCACTGGGGATCAAACTCAGGAGTGCTCTACCACTGAGCTACATCCCCAGCCCTTTTCATTTTAGTTTTTTTGAGACAGGATCTTGCTAAATTGCTGAGGTTGGCCTCGAACTTTTGATCCTCCTGCCTCAGGCTCCAAAGTCTTTGGGATTACGGGCTCACACCAGGGCATCCATCTAAAATTTAGAGTTGTTTCTTTCCACAGACATCTTTAGGAAAATGTGAAAGATTTATACACTCTGAAGAGAAATCAGAATATGGAAGGGTTCTTATTTGTTTCCTGAACATTCTTGTATTCACGTCATCTTCTTTTTTGGTGAGTATATACCTTAACTCTGAGGATATTAATCAAAGGGTATTTGATGTTTTCCTCAACCTTCTTAGTCTCTCCCTTTTCTCGAAGTTGCTCCTTTCTATTCATTTTGGTCTCTATTTCATGTGAGAGGCTTTCCTCAAGGTCTGGTAAGTCTAGGTTATTTGCTCTTATTTAAGAATGGGGGCTAAGGGGCTGGGGCTTAGTTGTAGCCCACTCGCTTAGCACATATGAGGCACTGCGTTTGATTCTCAGCACCACGTATAAATAAATAAAATAAAAGTGAATCAACAACTAAAAAATAAAAACAAATTAAAAAAAAAAAAGGATGGGGGCTATAAAGTTGAGTGGCAGTTCTGAAAATGTAGGGGCTTATTGACCAGAGGCTCCACCACATGCTCTGACTGGGTCTTTTACTTGGGGGACCCCCACATAAATGCTTTTAATTTTTTTTCTCTTGGGGGAGACCAAATTCCTGTGAGAAGTCTCTTCTAGGCTCATGCCCAGAGCGTATAATTCTGACTGCCAGCATTGTGGAGCCCACTGGGACAGAGCAGTTCTGCTCAGCATCGGTCCACTTCATCCCTCAGTTTCCAGGATAGCACCCAGTCCTTAGCTCTGCCCAGTGTCCTCCAATCTTTTTTTTTTTTTTTTTTTTTTTTTAGTACTGAGGATTGAGTTCAGGGCCTCTCGACCACTTTGCCACATCCCTGTTTTGTATTTTATTTAGAGACAGGGTCTCACTGAATTGCTTAGCACCTCACTAAATTGCCAATGCTGGCTTTGAACTCATGATCCTCCTGTCTCAGTCTCACTAGCTGCTGGGATTACAGGCCTGCACCACTGCACCCAGCCCAGTGTCCTCCAGTCTATAGACCTTCCATTCTGGTTTCTCTGGAGATGGGCGCTTCCTTGGCTTTGCAGGGAGCGGAGGAGTCTGGGAGTCTAGTTGTTTCCCAAACAGAACCACTCCTGGTTTTAGCCTGCCCCACCTCTTTCCAGAGCAGCCTGGTGTTGCCAATTCCTGAGCCTCTGGGGATTCTGGTTGGTTTCTCAGATTTCCTCAGTGCTGATTTAGGATTCAGTTTTCCTGTGTCTGTGTTATCCTTGACCACATTTCTTACTTTCCTGCCTTCAAAATGTTGCTACGGGAAGTTAAAAAGAAAGAAAGAAAAGTTCTATTATTTCTTTCCTTTCTCAGAAGAGAGAAAAAGGTGGTGTGCACATGTGGGTGTTCTATCTTCCATCTTTACCTGGAAATTGGGAGATTTCCTTTTCACTCTTGATCTTTTTCTGTTGTTTTAATTGTTAATCAATATTTGGTCACCATTATTAATTATTGTGAATTGTGTTACTTTTCAAGTGAAGACAATCCAGTTGACTTTTTTTTTTTTTTTAACTTCAGTGAAGATGAGGGAATAGCCTGTAAGAACTGTGAAATAATGATCAGACTTGACGTCTCCGGTGCTTCCCAAATGCAGACCTCAGCAGGAGCTGCGTGTATGTGCCTGTGTATTTACTAAGGAAACAGCTGAGCCTACCTGGGATGATAATATGCCCATAAATGATGACACCAGACCAGTAAAAAAACAATACACCCACAAGCAGGAAACAAAGTAGGTCAGAGTGAGTCACCAGCCGTGGTGTGTAAAGTTTTTCTCATCGTTGTTACTTCAGCCCAGAGCAGAATCTTAGTCTGGTTCTCCAACAGTTGTCTCAAAACTTTTCGATTGCCCATCCTTTGAAGAAAAATATTTTAACACACCCTCAAATATGTCAATTTATTTGCAAATTGCACATGTCATATCCATATCGACATAGCATAATATATACAAGTAGAGATTCTTTAATAGAATGCAATGGAAAATAAAATGAGTTCTAATATTTTCCTTCACTATTCCAGAGACTCATTTTGCACTCCATGGAATTCTCCAGCAGGATAAGGCTCAGAACACCTTGGAAGCTTTTTCAAAAGACTCCTACTGAGACTCTACCTGGTCATCTGAATCAGAACTTCCCTGGGTAGGGTCCTAGCCAGGATATTTTGAAAAATTTCCCAGTTGATTCCCATGTACACCTATGATTAAGAAATTCAACTCAAAAAATTCAAGAAAATGTGCCCTTCAAAAACCGGAAATGGGGGCTGGGGTTGTGACTCAGTGGTAGAGTGCTCACCTAGCATGCTTGAGGCACTGAGTTCAATCCTCAGCACCACATAAATGTAAAATAAAGATACTGTGCCCACTTAAAAAACTAAAAAATAAATATTTAAAAACAAACAAACAAACAATCTGGAAATGGTAGGCAAATGGCTACTGAGTGCAAAGAGAAGGCAATTAACAATGTGAAATTTACAGTTCAATTAAATATCTGGATCATCATGTGCCTCATAAAACTTCCCATTTCTATATTTTTCTTCCTCTATGTCCTCTCCCCTTACTTAAAAAAATAGCATTGACTCATTATTTTAAGTAATAGACATAGACATTCATTGTAGGAAACACATATAAGCAAAAAGAAGAAAATAAAAATTTATCTATAGCCAGGCACAGTGGCACATGCCTGTAATCCCAGTGGCTCAAGAGGCTGAGGATCACAGGTTCAAAGCCAGCCTCAGCAATTTAGCGAGGTTCTAAGCAACTCAGTGAGACCCTGTCTCTAAATTTAAAAAAATATAAAAAGAGCTGGGGATGTGACTCAGTGGTAAAGTGCCCCTATGTTCAATCCCTGGTACCAAAACAAACAATCTAACTAACAAACCCACACATCTGTGGAATCCTACCATTCCAAAGTAACAATTAAAATTTTTATTCATAACCTTCCAAAAATCTACGCAAACATATACTTAAGAGGGGAAACCTATTGAAAATGCTGTTTTCATCCTGACTTTTCCCCCTCAGTAATTATATTCTTTTCCGTGGTAATAAAGAATGAACCTCTGACAGAGCCTCGGAGCTGATCAGCTGGTGATGTTAGAAGCCCCTTGAGTCTGGCCAACCGGCTGACCCCTTCTCACGCTCATCTCTTCCTTCTGATTGGGCCTCACTTCCTGGCTCACCCTCTGTTTACGCTCTGCGGCTCGTTCCTTTTCACTTTTCCTTCATTCTCTATCCTCATTTCTCCACTAAAGCCACCAAGGCCTTCAGGACAAGGGTTAATATTTGACATAATTACACTTCCTGCCAACTTGACGAGGGGTGCGTAACAAGGGAGCTGGGAGAGACTGCTGCACCCTCCTCTGCAGTGGGGATTTTCTGAGCAAGTCCAGACAAGGGCCCTCTGTTCTTGATGACTATCTGTTATTTTCACTTGGGAGCCCAAATTAAAGTTGCTTATTTGCCTTAGCAGCAAGGTGTGGCCAGAGGCAGCCCAGGGTACTCAGATTGTCAGTGAAGAGCCATTTCAGAGAAATTGCATTTCTGAAATTGAAACCAAGGCAGATAGAACTCCCTTCAGTTGACACAAGGTAAGGGCTGGGAAGGAGGTTGGCCTGAAAATCCAGAACAGACCAGGTGCAGCACTTCTGCCTGGATGGTAATCAGTTTCCCCACCGGTTTTATAAAACTGGTTGCAGAAAACCAGTTCCTCCTGCTGTAGGTAACAAGGATCTTCTGAATGCTGGTTACCTCCCCAACCTGCTGACAAAGAACTTTCCATTTATATTTATGAATCCACTGGTAGTGAAGAAAACCCCCGAACTCTGAAGCTTCACTGGGATAGCACAAAAGAAAAAAAGCACTTTCCACCACACTCGAGCCAAATTGGGTTTTCCAGAGGCTGTGTGAAATTATTGGTTTCATTACATGCAAATCATTACCCCCAAACCAACTATGTTCTTGGGAATGAAATTGTCATTGGCTTTATTGACTAGGAGAGGCTAATTAGCCAACTCTCTAAGGGCATTCTGCTATGGAAGTTTCTAGAAAATGAAAAAAACAGTGACTCATTCTCTGCGCTCACCCCCAACACCAAAATGCTTCCTGCAGCAGTGGTAGCTTATTTGTTATCAGTCAGAGTGGGGGTGTAGCACCTGGGTTGCATAGATGCTTCGGGGGGGACAGAAATTAAGTGTTTCAACAGGGGTATTAGTCACAGGGGGTGGGACCCTCTCTGTCAGCTCATAAAAGTAGGAGCCAGAGAAGCTGATGATAGCTGAAACAGGGGAACATCCCCTTCACACAACCTCTTCTCTCTTTTCCCAGTAGCAGCTACTTAAAAAGTAGCAGTTAGCCAGGTGTGGTGGCACACGTCTGTAATCCCAGTAATTTGGGAGGCTGAGACAGGAGGTGCACAAGTTCCAGGCCAGCCTCAGCAACATAGTGAGGCCTTAAGCAACTTGGTGAGACTCTGTTAAAAAAAAAAAAAAAAAAAAATTGAAAGGGATGGGGAAGTAGCTCAGTGGTAAAGTGCCCCTGGATCAGATCTCCAGTAACAACAACAACAACAACAACAACAATAACAAAAAATATAGCACTTAGCATGTGGAGAATGTCAGAAAGAGGTGAGAAATGGGGAAAATACATCTTGACATAAATATTTCTAGAAAGGATCTCTTCCATTCAATGGAGGAGTTGAAACTAAAAATATCTTTAAAAAAAAATTTTTTTTTTTTTTAATTTTTGTTTCAGCTAGAATGGAAAGTTCTTCCCTCCCTCCAGGGAAACTAATCTCTACTTGTAGTAGCACTGGAAGTGCCACCATTAGTGACTCATTCCTCCATATATATTGCAGGGGGACCTGGCATTTAAGAGGCCCATATCAAAAGGCAAATACTTAGGATGCTGGCCAAAGATTTTCACTGGCATCAGAATCCTTGAGATAACTTTCAAATATGGGCTCCTGGCACACACGCACATATTCCATGCTCCCCTGCTACAACCACGACCTTCAAACAATAGGCGGGTTCTCCCGTTCCCTGGTTTCTGCCAGGACTTTGGTGTCATTAACTTTAGTTCCTGTTTTGCAGGTTAGAAAATGGTTTCCACTTGGATAATGATTTGACT